AGACCGTGTCACCCGTGACAAATCTGCAAATGATTTGATTTTTTTCAGATGAATGGCATAATATGTGGTCCTAAATCGTATATTCTATATTAAACAATACAATTGTCGTGTCTTTGTTCCGTGTCTTATTATTTCAATGTCTATCTGATATTTTTTATATCACATACATCCGAGTAATTTATTCCAAAAACATGTTAAGAGGACACGAGGAAATATAACTAGGATTTTGTACGATTTGTCGAGTTTTACTCGCGTTTGTCTTTGAGTTTCGACAGCGAGTACGATCTAGAGAGTGTGTAAATATTGTACTATAAGACTTGATATTGTGTAGCAAGAAAACTAGAAACTGATAGACATGCGCACATTTTCACACATTCGTAGAAAGTTAAAATGTCACTTTTTTAGACAGAGGTATTGGTTCATCGTTCCGATAGTAGATGATAATCATTTTGGTTGAGCTTATTATTATTAATTTACATGTAATGTATATGCATACATGGGTTGCACAAATAAATATAAGCAAATTAATAATATACAACATGGGCACATTTTTTCCTACATTCTTATTTAATGTATATAGTAAATTTTAGCCAACACAGAACACTTATATGAAAATAAGCTATACACAATACGATTAAATAGTGAAATAGCGTGTCATTTCTAAGAGAACCACTCCCACTCTTACATTCACTTAGTTGCATAGCAGAGTACATTACGTCAGGAAGCCTATTCAATTAAACTGACTGGCGTTGATGAAGATAGGTTAGTAGTAGTCAATACCATCGTTTTTGATTACCTATCCATTGAAATTAACATGAATATTTGCCATTGTACGTGATAATGTGAATATTTCCGGGTTCACGAATTGTATTTTATTTGACATCAGTGAAGGCCGTAAGCTTTAACTTCTAGCAAGAACAACATTTCAGTTTCCCAGGGCCTTTACAAAGGTTGATCTACCCTGCTTGGCCTCAGCTCATTGTATTTCGCTACAAGGATTCCAATCAATCAGTGTTTTACTGTATCGACCACTGGCCAACGAAGTGCACATTATTTAGTATCAATGGAGTCGAGGTACGAACCACTGTATGACCTTTGACACAGGTATAACTTGTGACATATGTACACTATATTACCAGTAATACCATATATATCACACTTAATACCGGACCTATTGAATTGTCTGTATATTAAGTGTTACTTTGTATGTAGCCATTCGTATATGCTCGTTACAGGGATTCCAACAATAATTTATTCTTTATAAGTATTATTACAGTACCAAATCAAAAAAGTGATTAGATTTATAATTAGAGATAGTGTATGTCACGGTCGACGCAATGAAGGAATCAATAGCAATGATCCATTTAAGACTACTAGTATGAGCACATTACTTTTATTACGAATTCTGTGTCGTCCACGAGTGAATAATTACTAATTATTTCAACTACCAATAACCACTTGCTATAAGTGCTATGCAGTGCTTATTTTTCTAAATGCCACTTACTATATTTCAAAACAGGTAAATCCGAGCCGTAGGCGAGGCTGATACACACCAAGGGACAGTCACTTATTTACCTATATATCGTGATTATAGTCATCATTTTAGATTTGCTGACTCATGATTCAAAAAACACACACGAAGAGGTAATCAAGTAATATTTTACTTCGAAAGCGTGTATATGATTATATCATCACGCAATGAAGGAATTCAATTAATTTCCCAGGGTAAGTGAAACAAGGAAGCTGCAAATATAACATGGGATGATTACATTAACACAATTAAATGGTGCCACGATGTTAGCTAGTTCTCGCCGGGTAGCCTACACGATAATATTTTAAATTAATACGTGTCAAATTTCAAGCTATTAAGCCAGATCTTGTAGAACCATCCCTTACCGTACTATGATATGGGTATTAGTATTGCATCGGCACAGTTGACAGGTTTACCCGCGTGTCCTATTGCAGCGACAAAGTTTATCGTTGTCTGATATTATATATTTAATATTCTCGATCCGTCTTTTGTCTAAGCGAAATTGTGTGAACACAAGCAGCGTGAACAGCGTGATGTGAGTTACTTAAATCACTTTCGAAGTGAAGTCTAAATGACGTCGAATACATTCACTGCTATCCCGGAGCAATCACAGCTGTAATTAGGAGACAGAGATATTCTTTTAAGCCCATCTATATAGTCGGCACGACATGGAAAGATTAAATTCTAAAACCACTGTCAGCAATTTCATTAAAACCAGATTAGATTCCGCAACCACTCTAATTGTGGATGTTCGTGAACTTTCAAAAGATTTGTTTGGCCTTATATGCACTGTGAACACCGCGAGCTTTTAAAAAAATGTATATGCATAATTTAATTAAAATGACATTTATGGTGGATTCCAAAAGATCACGTATTCAAATATGTTCTAAAGCTTTTATTATTTGCATTTGAGTTGAAACAACGCCGAGAAAAAGGAAATTGACAACTATCATGTAAACACAAATCATCAAATCGCTGAGGGCGTATTTATTACCATTATTCACAATTATAAAACAAATAGTATGATCACTAAACAATTTGTTACAAGAAAAATGGTAAAACACTTATTGGTTCCTATGGTAACAGAATTCATCACTTAATTATGTTTGGAAACGTTAGGCGAAACTAAATAAAATGAGTATTAATGAATCCTTTTTTGAAATTCTGAAGATTAATATTTGTTTTGTTTTCATTGAAAGAGTTTTTGTTTTTCATCACAATCGCACAACACTACATCAGTTTTTTCAATATAAATGATTTCTTTTTGAATTGGCT